TAAGTAACTTGTGCATTGTTTTACTTACTTGTTTTTGACATATCCGACCGAACTACAAACTTTCCAGTGATGTCTGTGAGAAAGATATATTCACTCGACAAGCTCGCGCATCTGCGCCGCTTGTATCTCCGATACAATATATATCTTATATATCTCCGACTGGATTCGTCTGAAAGAAGAAAGTCATATACACCTAGGATGACTTGAGGGTGAGTAATATCACATGCTGTGTGGTATCGGCGTTTGGTATCGGGGCATTTTAACGAGTACGAGTACGAGTACGAGTACAGGAGACCAGTATCGGTGCATCCCTAATAGAGACACATGCATCTGTGCTCCACCGTCTGCAGGTGTGTTCACAGGACTCTTGCCCAGCTCACAGCCTCTGATCCAAACCCAGAGCTGGCCAGCTCACTCTAACCCCATGACCTTTACCCCCCTGACCTGCCCTGACCCCGAGCGCAGGATCCTGACTGTCCCAGCACAGCGGAGGCCGCCCATGAGAAGTGAGCGCACAGCATGTGTTTGTCCCTGACTGACTAACAACTGCAAACTTACTGCAAACCCACAAACAGAAGCCACCAGGCTTCTGTTAAGGAGAGTTGAGGTCAACATCCTAAATCATTTATTTCAACTTCATTATGCATCACAAACTCCGCTGTGCAATGGTGGGAATGATTTACTGTGTCTGGAAGCCCCTCGTTTCAGCACAGATTATAGATTTAGAGATTCTCTCATGAATTGTGTTGGAAAAGTGACTAGGCATCATTCATTTCTTCCTATTTATTATTATTTATTCATGACCAGGCAGACTCCTGTGATATGAGCAGAAGTGAGTGTTTTCACCTGATAGAAACCAACAGTTTAGAGACTTGTGTGTCCTGAAGTGAATTTCTGCTTCGCTCTTTCTCCAACAGCTTTCAGCGCTCCTCACTCGCTCTCCAGCTATCAGCTGACCGTGCATTCCATCGATTACACGCCTGTATCCCATCATGCACTGGGAAACAGTGGAGGCCCATCTCTGCAAACAGATGCATTGTGGGACATGGAGAATATGATTCAACCAATTAGAGGTTTTGATGGATCATCTTATTATCAATCTGGCAACAGCCAATCAGGTGTGTGTGTGTGTTACTGTCCAGCCGCTCAATTAGCAGTTTAAATAAAAACAAACTGAGAAACAGCATGAACACATGTGCTGCATCCCAATTCGCCTACTTATACTATGCCCTAAAAGTATGTACTCTTTTTGAGAAAAAAAAGTACATACTTTTGAGCATGTAGAAGAATAGTAGGCAAGCTTTGGGACATACTACTTCGTCATAGCTGCTTCTTTAAGGGACGCTCTGTTGCTTAGTTACGTGCATTCTGTCACTGTTTAAACTGCCCTGTCAATCATCTTATCACAGTTAACACCATCCACATTTCGTTTAATTTGATTTCCTACTGTATTGGAGAGAAATGAAGAGGCACGTTGATCTGCTAGTCATGCTGTTGATCTGTGATTTGACTGCAGACTAGAGGTCTACACGGGTCCAAAAATTCGTACCCGAACCCGAAGAGACATCACTCATGAAGGTATCCATTATCACCGTGCGTGTGCATTAACTTCGCCCACCCTGCTTCTGATGACGTCGCTCGGGTTTTTTGTTTTTTTTCCCACCTTATTTCAAATTACCAACTCACACTTTTCTCATCCTAATTTTACAAGTTGAAAGTTACAAAACAACACACGCACACCGCTGACTGACTCTGATAACGGCAGGGTGTTCTCCGAGTCCGATCGGCTCGGGTATTACACACAATGTTAAACAGACCCGGGACCCGAAGTAATAGATTGGGACCCGACCCGGACCCGGCTGACCATTTAAAATATAGCCCCGAACCCGTACGGATCCCGGGTCCTCCGTGTAGACCTCTACTGCAGACCATCACATGACTGATATTCAGAACAACAGAATAATTGTGTGTCATATTGTTTTTATACAACAGTTCAATAAACTCAGTAAACAGTTTTCACAATCAGCCAGTAAATCTGTGTTCACTCGTGATGGCTGATCACTGAGCTGTATAAAGTTTGAGTTTAATTAAGTTGGCTTGAGCAAGCCAAGTTACTGAAATCCGACTTAAACTTACAGTTATTAAGTTGGCTTGAAAAAGCCAACTTACTGATCTACTATATAAACTTATTGTTCTTCTTCTTCTGAGCCAAATTTTAGTCTGTATCTCCTCCTAGAGCTTTAAAGCTACAACCACCAAACTCGGCTCAGACCTTCAGACTAGAACAGTCAGAATGACTTGAGTTGCTATATCTTTTCTAACTGATCCGACTTACGATTTTCCTAAAAATGACGATCAAAACTCAGAAAAACTCCCATAGAGTTACATTGAAAAGTCTGAACATTCCATTAAACTCCAACTGTCAAAAATTCAAATGTAAGCACACTGAAGCCCATTAGACTCAATGAAGCTGCCATTCTATGTACTATTTCTAATACTCACACTCACTCACTCACTCACTCACTCACACACACACACACACACACACTCACACACACACACACACACACACTCACACACACACACACACACACACTCACACACACACACACACACACACTCACACACACACACACACACACACTCACACACACACACACACACACACACACTCACTCATCCCGGGTACCTTAGCAACCGCCTGGCAACACCCAAGCAACCATCCACAGTACCTTAGCAACCGCCTTGCAACACCCTAGCAACCACCCCGGGTACCTTAGCAACCGCATAGCAACACCCTAGCAACCACCCCGGGTACCTTAGCAACCGCATAGCAACACCCTAGCAACCACCCAGAGTACCATAGCAACCGCATAGCAACACCCTAGCAACCGCCCCAGGTACACTAACAACCGCATAGCAACACCCTAGCGACCGCCCCAGGTACCCTAGCAACCGCATAGCAACACCCTAGCAACCACCCAGAGTACCATAGCAACCGCATAGCAACATCCTAGCAACCACCCAGAGTACCCTAGCAACCGCATGGCAACACCTTAGCAACCACCCCGGATACCCTAGCAACCACATAGCAACACCCTAGCAACCGCCCCGGGTACCTTAGCAACAGCATAGCAACACCTTAGCAACCACCCAAAGTACCATAGCAACCACATAGCAACACCCTAGCAACCATCCAGAGTACCCTAGCAACCACATAGCAACACCCTAGCAACTGCCCCAGGTACCCTAGCAACCGCATAGCAAGACCCTAGCAACCACCTTAGGTACCCTAACAACCGCATAGCAACACCTTAGCAGCCACATAACAACACCTTAGCAACCACCCAGAGTACCCTAGCAACCACATAACAACACCTTAGCAACCACCCAGAGTACCCTAGCAACCGCATCGCAACAACTTAGCAACCACCCCGAGTTTTAGTTTAAAAATGGAGAATAATACTCACAAAACTGCGGATTCTGTTTTTTTTTTTTTCAAAATAAGTTGTCATTCTAAATAGGACACTTGAAGACTCAAAATAGACACCTAGTAACCAAATTCTGTAAGGGTCCATATACCTGTAATGTAAATAATCAGAGAATGGATCGCACTTAGTCTGGAACCTCACCCTTAAGCATGCCAACCTAAAGGCTACACGCTGTCAGTTTTTGGGATTGACAACCGCATTTTCTTTACAGGTGTGTCTCGAAATGTCCCGTTCACACAGCAGCTTACAGTTGTGTTTAGAATACTGTCTGTATGAACGTACAACGGGAGTCAAGCCCGTATTCCTTACCAGTAACCAATAGCGACAGTGACCAAAGTAAAATCAAGGTTGGCGACGTCCATAAAACTGAAAGTCTTATCACTTTATGATACGACAAGAGTCTAATCGAGCCACGAGTTCTTTCGTCAAATCTTCATTAATCAACAGCAGCTTTTAACTTTGGGTGGAGAGCGGAGCATTTGAATCGCGCGCAGAACACAAAACTGACGGGAGCGGCTCCGGTGGAAAACTGACGGGCTCTAAAACGTTCAGATGACACGCAGCTCATTTCTCTGTCACTGTACGTTACCGAAAACACACGTGAAAACACGTAACACACGTTAAACACGCATTTGTGTGGCAGAGCGACTCTCTCTCGCGCTCTATGACGTGACAGACAACTAGTTGTCCAGTCCTGTTCTGTTCACACAGCGCGTGTGTACCGAGAATGCGGTTGTGAGTCCTGAAAATTTACGGGTGTGAGTTCGGTTACAGAATGTGGTTGTCACACCCGTAATAATAATCGAACTGTGTGTGAACGTAACCGTATTAAGGACTCAAAAACAGAACTGACAACCGTATTCTGCTTATACTCCAGATTGATTTGCTCTTGGGATCACAGGAACACACAAGCCTTTCCACCACGTCAACTCTCACACACTCACTCTCACACACACTCACTCACACGCACACACTCACTCTCACACACTCACTCTCGCC